CCCGAAACGTCAGCCTTCCTGCTCCTATGATGATGCTTGGCCTGCTGCGTTCATCCAGCTCTACACCTTGTTATCTCAGATTTTCCAGCATATACAGTTCCTACTACCCCAAGCCCCCGCTTGGTTTCCCCGATGTAGAGGAGGCCACAACAGGAACAGCGGATGCAGTATACCACATTAGCAGATGTGCAGGTGAACATCTGCTTGATGTGGAAAGTCAGGATGGGGGAGGTGTAGAGGCAGGTATAGCACTTCCTGCGGTTGCAGGGAAAAGTGCCAGGTGTGGTGGGGCTGGAGGGGAGTGTGGAGCGGACAAGGGAGTCACAGGAGAGAGTGGTCCCTCCGGAAAGCAGATAAGGGTGGGGAGGGAAAAATGTCTTTGGTGGTGGGGTCGGATTGCAGATGGCAGAAGTGTCGGAGGATGATGTGTTGGATCCGGAGGTTGGTGGGGTGGTACGTGAGGATGAGGGGAATTCTTTTTTGGTTGTTATTGCAAGGAGTGGGTGTGAGGGATGAGTTGCGGGAGACATGGTCGAGGGCGTTCTTGACCACTGGCGGGGGGGGATGCAGTTGCGGTCCTTGAAAAACGAGAACATCTGAGATGTATGGGAGTGGAATGCCTCATCCTGGGAGCAGATGCGGCAAAGGCGAAGGAATTGGGAATAGGGGATGGCATTTTTGCAGGAAGGTGGGTGGGAGGAGGTGTATTCTAGGTAGCTGTGGGAGTCGGTGGGCTTAAAATGGATATCTGTTTCTAGGTGGTTGCCAGAGATGGAGACAGAGGTCCAGGAAGGAGAGAGAGGTATTAGAGATGGTCCAGGTGAACTTAAGGTTAGGGTGGAAGGTGTTGGTGAAGTGGATGAACTGTTCGAGCTCCTCCTGGGAGCACGAGGCCTGCTGTCTTCATCCAGCTCTACACCTTGTTATCTCAGATTCTCCAGCATCTGCAGTTCCTACTATCTCTGATCCGGTATACAATGTTCAGTTAGCTTATTTTCTTTTCGTTACTGAATAATGACAGTTTTCTTTCAAGTTTATTTGGCCAATACGAGGCACTCACTTGTTCTGCTTATTGCTCATCAGGTTCTTTAAACTGACTCCAAGTTGAAAATAGCATCTGAAATAACTCCACAAAGGTTAGTATCCCATCAGAGTCGTCCTCTTTTATCACCTGCACAGAATATGACACAGACTCAGCTAGCTCAGAGCCAGTTCCTAGGGTGAACTGCAGGCCTGCTAGTAGTAATATACTTGTGACCCCACCTAAACTTTTCTCATTGTGTATTAAGCCACTTGGTGAGTTGAATCTCTTAAATGGCCACTAGACCATAAAAAACAGGAACCCAAGTAGGGCATTCTTTGCCACTCGAGTCTGCTCTGCCATTCAATAGGATTATGGCTGACTTGACATTCCTCGCATTCACTTTCCCACATTTTCCCCATAACCTTGATTCCCTTACTGTTAATTGACTGCTGGTGGGCCTTATTTGGTGGCAAACCAAGAAGACCACCCATTAGACCTTCTCACCCAGTACTGAGTTGCTGAAGTGGTGAGGGGCAAATGATTTCTTTGGAGGCCAACATCACCCAATTATTTGACCATTTTGGCATCTCCATGCAGGTGCAAGTTACACCGTACTAGTTAGAAATCACAGGTAAACAATAATCAGCAAAGAACTGGTGAAAAACACCTTGAACTGGACACAATCAGCACTGAATTATTCTTGACAAAATGGGAAATGGACAAGTTCAAAAGGAAATTAATAGATAACAAAAGTCACAAAAATAGCATTACTTGGTCTCAGTGTTCTGGCAAAGAACAGAAAATAATCATGCAAGGTAGTGACACCTGTCCATTCAATTATTACATCCTGGGAGCATTCCAACTATTCAGAAAAGGAAATTGAACATTTAATATGGCTTCTAATGATTTCAACTGAATTGGTAAAGAGATAGTTTTGCAAAATGGAAGTGTAAAAAACCATGAAAGGAATTTGCTCCTTAAATATTGTGAAGCACAAAATCAACACGCTTCATGCCAGTTTTGAAATAAGGACAGTAAACAATTCATAAAAATTAAAATTTAATAGGACATACTGAATCTACAAATGTAATGAAATATAAACCACACAGGAATGCACAATACCCAAAATAAATTAGTCAAATAGTGAAACAAGTCTCCTAGCATGGCTAATATTTTTAAAATTTTATTAATTTTAACAAAATGAGTAAAGGTACTATAGTCTGTATTAACAATCAATAATCAATCACATATTTAGGACCAATACGTTAAAGAAGAAGGATCTGAGACACCCCCAAAGGCCATTGTAATGCATGAGCTGATCTTCTATCGCTAAGAATAATCTCAACCTGTGAGCCACAATGAATGACATCCGGACCATACCACAATAGAAAAATGGGTTCTCAGTACTTACCTAAAATCTTCATTTGTCTTGGAGTATTATGCAAATTAAGGAGGTCTTGCTTTACTGGTTTATGTTTAAAAAAAGCCATCACTATGGGTTTGTTACGTAAAACAATTTATTTCCAAATATAGTCCCAGAATGATAAAAAATGTATTAACATAGTAGCTATGTTAATTAGTCTACAAAACTGAATAAAATATAGTACAACAGAACAACAATCACATTTATAATCAACCCAATTTGGGTTTGCACATCTCAAATATTACATTTGCTCATCACAATGATGTATACTGTGAAATACTTCATTAAAAGTTATGTACGCAAACCTTCTTGAATTAAACTTGCAGTTTAAAATACATTATTATTTCTCTTGGTGTCCAGCTGAAACCCAGAAAGTGATTTTCTTCTGCACTTGAGAAAACAATTGACGAGGTAACCATGGAAGTTGATTTCGCAAAACTGTGGAATTTTTGGCAATGCAGTCTAAGCACAACCTACAAAGAAAAAGAAAGTACATCACCCAACATAACTAAGCCTTCAAATCCATTATCTGGTCTATTTGAAAATTTGGTAATTAAATACATTATGTTACATTTTGTGGCAGAGCACATTTTTAGATTTTATAGATGCATCCTCAATCCAGTTTGCTCGAACTATCACTAAACTTCACCTTATTCAATTGTGAACTCAAGATAAAGAGTGTGGTACAAATTGTGATCTGGAGCCAAGTCAATTATATTCCCATTTCATGTCTACTTTACAAAGTCCTGTTCATGTATTTCAATGGGCTGCCCTTAAAAATGGAAGGATGATTTGGCCTGTCTGCCTCCTATTCCTCTCTCTCTCTTTATGTGTTGCTTTTCCTACAAAAGCAGAATTATCTATCAAATAGCAGACAGACATTGTGACATATATACCAAAACACTTAACATTTTTGTACAATTTCAAAAGTCAGATATATACTTCATGCATATGTGCTATTCTGTCCACAGAAATAATTGCTGGGGTTTGCATATCAAGGTTCATAAAACTTTGATGCTGATCAAACAAAATGATATAAAGCTGACAATGCAGTCTAATTACAAACCACAGAAAAGTGTGCAAAGTATACGTGGATGAGGGAAATACAATAGTATTGATAATTGTGAAAGTATAAGATCACAGTGTAATCCTCAGTGTTACCAATTCTGATCACTTCATTGGACTTCATTCCAGCAATTGCGAAATCCACTTGATTGGTCAACTCTCAGATCTCTCTGACTTTGTAGCCATTCGGGAACAATAATGATTTTGTGCTTGCTATACCTTAAAGTGCTTCTAATAACTTACCCTTAAAACACAGTCCCTGCTGGTAAACAGTTCGTTCAACTGCAGTCATTGCTAGGAGCCTCATTCAAAATATCTCATCCTTTAAACTGGCCACATGTTGACAAATGCAACGTGATAATCCTTGTCTGACATATGCTGACATTAAACATATGAGCTGAATCCAGAACAATAAGGTTCAAGAGTTCAAACAGGGAACTATGCAGGGTTGGACTGAAGCTGGAGTGTATGGACCAAATGAAAACCAGCTACCAATAATTTTAGAACAATACAATGCAGTGAGTTTTACTCAGAGTGGTGCATTCTCTAGTCAATAACACTTGACCTTTAGGTGAAAAGTGCATACTTCCAGTAAAAAAAAAGGAGTGAACACATAATGCTGGAATTCTACTCATTTTGTATGTCAACTTCCTGGTCTGAATTTTATTGGTCTATTACATGCTTTGTGCAGAATGAGGCATATAACAACATTTCTCAACAGGTTGATTAGAAAATATCTGTGATTGCATGCTATTTCCTAAAATGGGCTGCTAGACATTGAAATAAGTCAGTACCCCTTTTTGTTGTAAATGGAAAGGCAATGAATAGAAAAACCGATCTGGGATTGCACACATCACCTGTATTTCTACAGCGGAGTAGATAAGCAGCAGCATGCATTTCCATGCCTATCTAACGATATAGTGGCTGTAGAAGTTTGATTCATAACAGATACTGATAGAGGCCCTTCTGAAAGCAAAACCACCGTTAAACCCCTGCACAGCACTGCCAGTGACCACAGAAGTAACAAATATTAATTTCAAGCTGTTATTGTAATTATCAGTTCAGAAATAAATGAATAAAAACTGACAAGTGTAATACGTCCTCGAGCCTCTCAGTTCACACCTTCCCTATCTTCAACCAGCAGCATCATGACAAAGTTCTGCAATTTAAGAGTGTGGAATTCCCAACAGGTGTTGAGGTTATGGATCACATCCACATGTTCCATTATGTAATGCCACTAATTATATGAGTCAGAAAAACTCACTGACTGCATCTAATGCTGACCTTAGAAACAAATCCCAAGGTCAATAAACAAACTCAGATTGAATGAGTGCCAACGACATTTCAGGATGTATGGAACATCTATCTCAACAGTTTTGAGGAATCATGAGCAGAAAAGAAACATATGACAACCATCCAAGTACTTAGGACAAAAGTTTAGAAGGTTCTAAATTTCAATTTCCGTAATCAATTGTTCCAGAGAGAAAATCCTAAAACATTACTACTGTCCAACCTCTGGTGGGATCTAGGGCTGGAGTTATCCAACTCATCAACTATATTCAGCACCAGGTTCTGTCCTATTTTGCACCCATATATTACTAGACAATTATTGCACTCAAGAATTTCTCGTTACCTTCCTCAATTTTATTAGATATCTTAAAATTTTAACTAACAGATACAGAGAGTTCATAAGTTCCCACAAGTAAACTACTCGACATTTCAAAGCTGTGCTTGTTCAAAATAAAATTCTAAGCTCTCTCTCTCACATACTCTGAATATTGACATGCCTTGAAATAAAAATAAAGACTATAATTTACCCTTTTCAAAATCAAACATGGCTAACATTAACTGCTGATGATTTTATAACCAAAATATAACGTCAAAGGAAATTTTAACATATTTACCTGAAGAGTGAATAGGGTTGTGTTTGAAAGATAAGCACATCATTACAGTGACCCTAGTTTAAAAAAAGAGACAAGCCACATAACATACCAACATCCACTGATGTGCACTAACAACAATTTAATAAAACTACATTGCCTGATACTTTGATAAAAACATAAATAAATGCTACATTTTTATTTAAATCAATTATCCAAATATGTTCTAATTTCTCCAAATATTACCTAAACTGAAAGTTTAGTTTGAGGAGATTGTGGAAATTGAAATGAAAACAAAGGGCTGGAAAACCTCAGCAGGTTTCAGTGTCTGTAGAATGACAAACAGAGTTCATGTTTCAAGTCCAATATGACTCTTCTTTGTGACAGAAATAAATTAGTTTACAGTTGTATTCTGTATAATTACACAATTTTGTTTACTAAAGTTACTAAAAATGTAGGATTGCAAAAAAAAGACAAAAGTTTGGTTTTGAAGCCCAAAAATGCACTACTTTGTCATTTAGAAACATTTCAAATTAGTTTTTCACAGATTTCCAATTATGAAATCGAAACAAAATTCTTTATTTAACTTAAGATGATCAGATAAACCAGGGTCAATGGTAGAAAATTTCAACAAACAAGACAGAAATTATTTTCCATTTCTAACAATTAAAAACAAATTTGTAGGCAATAATATTGCATTAATCCACACATTCGTACACCTATTCTGAATTTCAACTTTTTTTTAATTCACCCGTGGCCATCACTGGCTGGCCAAAATTGCCTATCCCAAGTTGTCATTGAAAGGTGGTAGTGAACTATTTTCTTGAACCACTGCAGCCCATGTGCTTTGGTAGACTCTCATCGTAGTTAGGGAGGGAATTCCAGGATTTTGACCCAGCAACAGTGTAGGAACATCAATATATTTCCGAGTTAGGGTGATAACCGACTTCGGGGGGTGGGGAGGAACATGTGCAAACGGTGTTGTTCTCATGTAACTGCTGGCCTTGAGTTTCTAAATGGAAGTGGTTGTTGGTTTGGAAGATACGATCTAAGCACCTTGGGGGAATTTTGCTGACCACCTCATCGATAGTACATACTGCTGCTATTAAGTGTCAGTCATGGAAGGTATGGACGTGGAGCCAACCAAGTGGGCTGCTTTGTCCCAGATAGCGTCAAGGTTCTTGAGTGCTGTTGGAGTTGCACTTACCCAGACTAGCGGAGAGTATTCCATTGTGCCTTATAGATGGTGGACAGGATCGGGGTCAGGAGTTGAGTTACTCGCTGCAGTATTCCTAGAATTTGACGTGCTCTTGTATTTATATGTTGAATACAGTTGAGTTTTTGGTAAATGGAAACGCCTAGTGTGTTGACAGTGAGGGATTCAGTGATAGTAATGCCATTGATTGTCATGGGGCGATGGTTTGACTGTCTTTTATTGGAGATGGTCATTCCCTAGCATTTGTGTGGCATGAATGTTACTTGCTACGTTTCAGCCAAGCCTGGATACCGACCAGTTTTTGCTGCATTTGAACATGGAATGTTTCAGTATCTGGGAGTCATCAATGTACAATGTTCAGCATTAATCAATCATCGGTGAAAATCTCCATTTCTGACCTTATGATGAAGGGAAGGTCATTCATGAAACAGATGAAAACCGTTGGGCCTAGGTCTCTACCCTGAGGAACTCCTGTTGAGATGTCCTGGAGCTCAGATGACTGACTTCCAACATCCAAAATCCACTTTCACCTCACCTCCAGAATTCAGCTCTTTTGTCCATGCTTGAACTAAGGCTTGATCAGGTCAGGAGCTGAGTGGCCATGGCGGTACTCAAACTAGACATCAGCGTTCAGATTATTGCTGACCAGGTACTGTTTGATAGCATTGTTGATGACATCTTCCAAATTCCACAGTTTTCACATGCATGATCAAATCAGAATCAAATGAGTTATTACATCAGAGTGCAACAAGCACCAATGCTGCTGATGAAATAGCTTATGGAAGAAAAAGGACTGCTGTAAATTTCAGTTTTTCTTAAACATGAATACTGTGTTGTGGTCACTTTTATGAGCATACTGAATGTTTGATGTTCAGCATGTAGCCTTCTATGCAGTATCCAAATATTTAGGAGTGTGACCATATAATCCTGATGTAATGAAAGTTGAAATACTAAGCACATTCCACGGTCAAGCTGTACGTAGGTAATGCTGCTGTACGTTACAGGCATCAAATGAATGTACAAAATAACAAGCAATTCATTCTCACATTGATTCAACTGACTATAGAACTCTTTCTAAAAGAATAATATATCTAATCTTCACTAATAACCTGATTTACTTTTCTCAATCAGCTCTTTGCTTACTCCAACTGGCGGTTCAAGCATTATATCCACGTC